TTGTTTCTTTCCAGGTATGAGGGTGGGCTGAAAAGTTTATAGGCTGACTATGAAAGAGTGATTCCAGACCTGTGAAAATCTTGCATGCATTAATTTCAACTCTTCTTATTAATGACTGCATTGTTTCTTTCCAGGTATGAGGGTGCGCTGAAAAGTTTATAGGCTGACTATGAAAGAGTGATTCCAGACCTGTGAAAATCTTGCATGCATTAATTTCAACTCTTCTTATTAATAACTGCATTGTTTCTTTCCAAGTATGAGGGTGCGCTGAAAAGTTTATAGGCTGACTATGAAAGAGTGATTCCAGACCTGTGAAAATCTTGCATGCATTAATTTCAACTCTTCTTATTAATGACTGCATTGTTTCTTTCCAGGTATGAGGTGGGCTTTGAAAAGTGGGCTGAAAAGTTTAGGCTGACTATGAAAGAGTGATTCAGACTTGTGAAAATCTTGCATGCATTAATTTCAACTCTTCTTATTAATGACTGCATTGTTTCTTTCCAGGTATGAGGGTGGGCTGAAAAGTTTATAGGCTGACTATGAAAGAGTGATTCCAGACCTGTGAAAATCTTGCATGCATTAATTTCAACTCTTCTTATTAATGACTGCATCGTTTCTTTCCAGGTATGAGGGTGGGCTGGAAAGTTTATAGGCTGACTATGAAAGAGTGATTCCAGACCTGTGAAAATCTTGCATGCATTAATTTCAACTCTTCTTATTAATAACTGCATTGTTTCTTTCCAAGTATGAGGGTGCGCTGAAAAGTTTATAGGCTGACTATGAAAGAGTGATTCCAGACCTGTGAAAATCTTGCATGCATTAATTTCAACTCTTCTTATTAATGACTGCATTGTTTCTTTCCAGGTATGAGGGTGCGCTGAAAAGTTTATAGGCTGACTATGAAAGAGTGATTCCAGACCTGTGAAAATCTTGCATGCATTAATTTCAACTCTTCTTATTAATGACTGCATCGTTTCTTTCCAGGTAAACTGATATCTGACTGTTCAAAGAAGACTGTTCATCCTGTTGGTGAAAAAAGTCAACAACAAAAGATATGACGTCATAACCACTTCAATACTGGTTCTCAGACAAATAATTTTTCAGATTGGGGAACAGATAATAGTCAAATCAGAAAAATAGGGAAGGTGATCAACTTGTTCAAAGCCGCAGTCATGCACAGCAGCCATTGAAACAAAGGAGTTGTGTGCTGTAGCACTGTCCTGATGAAACAAATCCCATTTTATCAGTTTTCCTGACCATTTGATCTTGATAGCCTTTTGTAACTTCCTTAGCAAGTTGACATAGAACTCTCCATTGATGATGTGGCCCTTTTGAAAATAATCAATAAACACAGTGTCTTTTTCATCCCAAAAAACAGACCATCACCTTCCCTGCAAATGAAACAGCCATGGCCTTCTTTTGAGAAGGTGATGAGGGGTATTTCCACAGCAAAAATTATCATTTTGTCTCTGGCTCAAAGTGACAAACCCAACAGTCAGCAGGATCTGCCTCGAACAATGTCAGAAGTTCCTGTGGTGTGCTTTTGATGCAGTGTCAGAAGACGTGGCAACCACTGAGCAGAAACATTAATGTGCAGAATATTATCAACTCTCTCATGGGATATGCTAATAGTGTTGGCTATTTGATTTATAGTCAATCATCTGTCATCCATCACTATATGGTGAATGCAGTCAATGTTTTCCTCTGTGGCTTCAGTCCCAGGACATCTAGATCTTAGGTCATATTCAAGACTTTCCATTCCTCTCCTAAATTCAGCTGCTCACTTTTACACTGTTGATAAATCTGGCATGTCATCCCCTAATGTTGCAACCTTGTCAGTATAAATGTCATTGGAGCCTAAATCCTTTATAGGCAACTTATGAACTTCTTAGCCCAACCTCATAAGTATTGTAGAAACTTTGTGCACTTATCTTAGCAAAACTCTTGTGGAAAAGGAGAAATGAGGGAATTCAACTGTAATCATGTGACAAAAATATAAAGATCACAGAAAATTAATAGAAATGAGTTCCAGTCGACCCCATCTGACTGAAGGGAAGTCAAAATTTGTATATGTGTTTGAAGAGAGATATAAAAAAAATGCTAAAATAGTTAGCCAAATATAGTATTTTTTCTTTCTTTGTTACAACCTTGCTCTCTCTCTTTTGAAGCTGACTGGACATGTTACCAAAACTGTTAATAAGAGTCCTAACTCTTTATTTTCTATCATTACTTCTACAAGGAGAATTACTTATAGGCAACATATAGTGTTTAATTGGTGCAATTTGACATAAATGATTGCCACCACAAGATTACACCAGTTACAAGTAAGAATTTGTTATCATTTCACTTCAAATGCTAATAGCTGCCATTATAGTTTTTCTGCCTTCCCTTTCCCATAACAGTCAAACTTAAAATATTGACGGTTGATGAAGCACTCAGCTGCAGTTATACTTTCTTTTTATGATCAATGTTTCATCAATTTCCACTGTTTTGTCTAAACCTTCAATTTTATCGCCAATGTTTTGTTTCCGTGAAATAGCAGCACACATCCCTACAAAATCTGAACCAATCAACTACTGTTTGCTTCAAATAACTGTAGTTACTTTTAAAATAAAATTACTCAGGGTATCTTTTTTTAGCCAATAAGTGTATTAACAAAATTACTTTCATTTTTCACATGAGAATTATGGCCCTTGTTTTATGGCTCCTGATTCTAGAATTTTAATGTAAAAAAAAAAATATACACTGTATATAAGTGTAGTCTATAGTGTATATTCGTTTTATGATGAACTTTATAATAGTCAAATAGAAGTTTTACATTAGATACCACCAAAGTGGATGTTTTTTTTTTTCAGAAATGAATGCAAAAAATTGCTTTCCCCTATTTTTAAAAAATCAGGGAATTATCTGGTTTAAATGTAAGTTACAAGTAAGAATTCATTATCATTTCTTTCTTGAGTTTCACTTTAAATGCTAATAATTGCCATTATAGTTTTTCTACCTTCCCTTTCTCATAACAGTCAGACTTGAAATTCCGACATCATAACTCATTCAGTAGTTACAATAAAGAGAACAGGTTGTCATGTATAAAGACAAAATGAGGAATCAGAGAACCAGAAGTTTTGCATTATTGATTATTACAGATGGCAATTTATCTTTATAAATTTCTATCAAGAATAAATACATTTGTCTTTCTCAAAATACCAAGTAGTTGGTTGGTTGATATTGTTTAGTGACATATCAACCTCTATGGGTTACTTAATGCCGAAATCTAAATATTTTGTATGTAATTTTATGCTTTCAAATACAGATATTTTATATATAATTGTATACTTTCAGGGTAAAGGTATATTTTAGATATAAAATTTGTAGATCATAAAAATGTTGACAGTTTTACTATAAAATGTATTTTTATATTTTTTTAGTATTGCATTGTCATTTTGTTATGAAAATGTATTGTTGGTCATTTTATTATAAAAATGTACTGTTGATTTTTGTTTGAGTTCGCTATTTGCCCATGACTGGGATCCTAACAGGTACTACCGCTCCAGGTCAGGGTGAACCTGCTAGCAACAGCAATTAAGAGATGGTTCCACACTCCTCAAAATCTCCAATCACCTGATCAGATGCCTTGCTGCCAGATGTAGTTTGTTGTCATACCCCAGGCGCTCAACATTGAACAGATTCTGAGTAACAATATGTTAGCAATGTCTGATAAATATACAAGACTAAATCTTTCATAAAACTGTTTACTCCCTCTGTACACCATCAAATTAACATTAACCATAATGGTATATGGTTTTCCAAGTGGCTTTCCTTGAATGTTTGATCATCTCATAAGGATGTGGAGAACTCTACCTTACCCCTTGTGGATTAGACATTTATACTACTTCCTGTCATCTGGTTGACTTGTGTGTATATATTTTGTCAGTCAGTGTAGTCACCAATATCCTTTGAGACCTGATTCTGTAATTGCTGACTATGAGGTCCTTTTCTAGGTCAACTCTCTGAGGAACCTAGCCCTTTTGATGTTCTGACTGACAATGAATACAAAACTTATTTTAGCAGGCATCTCTTAGGGTGAACACAGTATATGTTAGGGGTCAGCAAAGCTTAACTCTACCTGGCATGCATCATATGCAACACCTGTGTGCATATATATATATATATATATATATATATATATATATATATATATATATATGAATAAAAATAAAATAAAAAATAATCTTAGCATGTTTCATACTCTGAGGGACATTATCAAGGCAAATTTTGTAACAAGTGTTTACATACAAGAGCAAAAATGTTATTGGTTTTCCAAAATTTTTTAATTTAAGAATGAGTATAATTCATAAGGTTGGTCAGAAAGTCAGGCAAGCTATGGAGGATGAAAGTAACACAATTCACTGTTTAATAAATGAGAGTAAGTGATGTTCTTGAAATTTTTTTTAATGCAAATTAGTATTTAAATTATTTTAGTTTGGGATTAATTTATGTTATTTATTTTGAATAACATGAGATTCTAAATGTAATCTTTTTTTTTTTTTTTACTTTTTTAACATTTTATAGTCATGTATATTGGCTTGGGAAAGTAGTAATTCTTTCAGGAATTAAGATATTTAAAAAAAATCTGGTGTGCAGCTTTACATTTTGATAAAAATCAATAGCAGCACACTTGAGAATTTCCCATCTAAATAAATTACTTTCTCTTTTAATAAGTGTGACATTCTTTAGATCAAAGTTGTGGTTGAATTTATTTGTATGTATAATTAAAGCATTTGATAAATTGCTGTGTATATCCCTTTTGTGTTCGTAGATACGTTATTTAAAATTTCTGCAAGTTTCCCCAATTGCCTTGACACAAAAAAAAAGAAAAGAAAAAAGAATATTGATTGATTCTATCATCAGAACTGACTCCTCCAAATTGGGAAAGTCGTATATGTTATTGTTAAGTCTAATTTTAAATAATTTATATTAAAAATAAAATTGAATTAATTTACCTCATCAGCAATGAGACATCTGAAAAATAAAAATGAGAATTGTTAAAAAAAAGTTGATTTTTTAAAATAGTGTATAAAAAATAACACAATAACTATGTATCATTATGTTGACTGCTACAGCATTTAAGTTTTTTTTCACATTCTTTACTTTACTTGAAGATTTTGGCTAGCGCATCCAACAGCAAGATGGTTTCCAACTATTTGCTAAGTGAAGTCTGAAGTGTATGCCATGTAAGTCGGTGTTGAAATAAAAACGATTTCGGCACTACTTAAATAGATTGATATGTTAAAAAAAATTGTCATTTGTAAACAAACAGCCAATCATAATAATTCTTAAAGCATCAGGGATCAATACACTGTATAAAAAAAAAGAGTCCACCTTTTAGATCGATAAAAAATAAACCAATATAAAAAAAGGTATTCCACAGTTAGTGTTTGGTTTACACAATGTGCATATGCCTGGGATACAATTACCTCACAGTACAACACAGTATTTGAATATATATATCTTTTTTAAGATATATTGTTAGTTAACTTAATAAAACATTTTTTTAAGTTCTGTTAAACTAACAAAACAAAATGAATGCAAGTGTTTTTATTTTTTGCTTTCTTTTTTTTTTTTTTCCCAACATTTTTAGAAAGTGTAAAACGATTCTGACAAGTGTTGAAAACTAAGGGGATTTAATGCTTAACTAAAATTACTAAAAATATATTTCCGTATTTTTTACTAGTGGACCAGTCTTTTTGAGTAGTACCTAAACTGTGAGATGGACCCTGACTTTGTGAACGTTTCAACAACTCAAGTTTTTGTCTGTTCGTCGACATAAGAAAATCAGTGCTGAAATAAAAAAAAAAAAACAATGTACTTTACAGTTGGGATAAAGTACATATTTTAAAAAACAAGAAGTTTCAGATTGTGGTCTTTGAATAATATTCTAGCTAGCTCGAATATCAAAAATTCGAAAGATAGGAAAACAACTTGTTGAAACCATGAATTACTTTCTATTGTTTAACAGTTCAAGACTTCAAGCAGATACAAAGTTATGGTTCAGTTCATTTACAATTGTAAATTTGAACATTTGATGTTCTAATATCAGACACAGAGTTAAGAAGATTCTGTATATTTTTTTAATTATACGTGTGTAACGAATACAATATTATACGTTTATCCACAAACTAAAAACATTTTCATTTTCTCGAAATTGAACAGGTTCAAAAGAAAATAAATAAATAAAAATAGTCGTTTTCATAAGAACAAACATTTAGAAAAATACATTTTTTAAAAATTATTCTATTTATTTTATTTTTAGCGTAATCGAAATTTATCAATTTTCTTTTCCTTTTAAAATAAAGATGGGATGTTGACATTTAGTTGCTCCTTTTCGAGACATTTTTAATACGTAGTTTTTGTTTAAGTTGATGGAATGTTATTTAAAGTTAAAAACGTTAGTTTTTAAAATTCGACAATAAAGTGAATTTATGGTATTTGCAAAGCAATAACTGATGAAAAATCGATTTTTAATCCATTTAAAAAAAAAGTTCTCTATTTTTCTTATGTAATTAACATTTTAGAAGAAAAATAGAGAACTTTTTATTTTATCTAAGGCTTAAATTGTAAGTATTACACTAACCTTCCTTTTTTACAAATTGCATCATAAATGCCATCTATCTGAAAAGGTAAGAGTTTTGCAACTAGTTTTTTTGGTAAATCATTTAAAACATCTTCCTTACGCGCCATTACAATAATAGTTACCGGTAAAAAAAAATATTATTCCCTTCTTAAATTTAGTCCCTCTGCATATGTCGTACTGGTGTATTACAAGTTAAGTTATTATTCTGGTTTACTCTCACGGAAAATAAAACCGATTTTAATTTTAAATTACTGAATTTCACTAACTCTAGTTTTGTTTTTGTTTTTAGACCGAGCCTGGTCGTCATTGTTGAAAATAGATCTCAAGTTTTATGAATCTAATTTTTAAATAAACCAATTTCCTTCGTATAAATGAAAAATTGAAAAAAATAGAACGTTATATAAAAAAAAACAAAAAACAACAGCATATTGCAATGATTTATTTTCTGTTTTTTCTTTTTTTAACCAAGCGAAGTCATAGAACAATTAATGGGGATTACCCCATCTTTTAGCAGACCGACTAGGTGTCTATTCATCATGACTAAGGAAAGTAAACTTTCTCGTTCTCTTTTTCTCTCCCCCCCTTTCCAGGTAAACAGTATCCAGTAGGTAACTGATGTGTATAGTTTTCTTCTCTGGGGAGACTTAGTCGCCCGGCAAACCGACTACTTAATTTTCAAATAAACCACGCGAACATCACACAGACGCACTACGGCTATGTACATAAACGTTTTCCTTATTTTTATTTTTTTATTTTTTTTTTTAACTATCTGTATACATATAATTATAATTTTCTCTTTCTCTTCTTTTGTGAGCTATGTTGTTTTTTACATAAATATTTATAAAACTCCTCCATGTGTTGAAATTCGTTTCTTTTCAAAATGTTGAATACGTTTACAGATGGGTCCATTTATGATAATAATTCCTAAGACGCAAATTAGGCGCGAAAGCCGATAGGTCCTGGAGACTACGGAGTGAAAGGACGTGCTTCAGCCAACTCCAAAAACAGGCGATGGCCCTCATATTTTGTCGATAGAACTTACAATGCTTTTCATACCATCTTATTCTATGTGCCTTTAATTGCAGTTTCTGTTTAAGTATTTCCTTAATTCATGGAATTTCATTTACTGCTTTAATTTTATATTTCTTCTTGTTTTCCCGTGTGGAAACATTTGAGTTTATCTGATTTCCTCAATTTCTCCCTTTGTTACCTTCCAGATGGGCTCTTTTTGTGTTTAGTTTAATCTTTTATTTGTATTGATATTAAGTTTGTTACTAGCTGCCAAAGCTGTTGCACATATGACATTATTTATTTCTGTGATATTTTGTTTTGGTCTGTCCATTAACAATGTTTGCAATGCGTTATATGTTTGCACAATATGTTTATTGGACTTTGTCATGTGAAATTTTGGTAGCCGGTTTCTTTCTGACATTTGTATACAAATTACTTTGCTGTTTACAGTTTATTTGAATGATGTGGTTTTTTGCTTCAGTGATTTCAACCCTTTTCTTTTTCAAGGAATTCTGCTCTAATGTCATTTGATTCATCTTCATCAGTAACAAAATCTTCATCAATGCAATTTTTTTATGTTGCAGCTAGATTCTTCCGTTTTATTTCCAGAGAGATCATTATTTCGTATCTCATTTATTTTATCTTCTGTCATATCATATTTCTATTCTTGCCTCATTTTTGCTTGCATTATACCTTATTGTACTTTGTCTTATATTTAGTTTTACTTTTATCGTATCTATTTCTAAATTTTTTTTTATTACGCATTATGTTTCTATGGACATTGGCAAGCATATTTGGGTCGAGATAGGGTATTATTATTATTATTATTATTATTATTATTTTTATTTTCTTTGATTTCTGGCGTTTACACATTTCTTTCGGGTCCCTTGTTCTACAAGGTTAAAATGGCGTCATGACACTTTCCACTGACAGAAAAAAAAGAATTAAATTACATAGATAAAGCCCTTCGTAAGGTGTGGGCTGTACTTGTCAAAACAATTTTTTGTATCTCCTTGAGGCATGGACTTCCAGGAATCCCTTCAATTAGTCTACTGCAATCTTTTCCAACCAGTCCTAGGGCTCCAAATTATTATTATTATTATTATTATTATTATTATTATTATTATTATTACAATCCTACTTGTCCCTTAGTAAGTTAGTTAAAACGTACGTTAATAAATAATAGAATATTCTATTTTGATCGCGAGGAAAGATGGCAAAGACATTAGAGACGTTTGTTTTCAGCGTGAAAAAAAAAAAAACGCGCGAAAGAAAACAATCGCGCGAAAGAAAGAAAGAGAAGATAATGTCCCATGTGTTTATTGTCTGCGAAATAGAAAACCTTGTCAATTTTAAAAAAAATTATATTTACCTCTTTATTTCTTTACAAAACGATCTGTATTTATTTTATAATTATGACTATTATTGCAATATATTGTTAAAGTTGTTAAGCTCAAATATTTAACAATACAAAATGGGAATTTTTACGAATATTTTATAGTCGTAGAACTTCACAAAGAACTTATTCAATTAACTTGAAATTTAATATCAGAAAATTCAAATAAAAAAAACTGAAATTATCACGGTTATTTCTTCTTCATCTTCTGCCTCTAGATTTTAACAAGGAAATTCAAAAGACACCAAGTTGATATGATATAATTGATAGTAATTTTCTTTTTCTTTTACGTGCCGTGTCCCTTCAGCCCGTTGGCGATCATGGTTCTCGAAAAGGTGCCAGTTTAGTCATCGGCTATCCGACAATAACTTATTTGCACACACACACACACGCGTGCGTGTGTGTGTGTGTGTGCTACAATCTGGAGACCCGCAACCCACCAGGGTCGTATGTGTATGAAACTGGGCAAGATAGCCTGACGGAGCTCAAACCTAACCAGGTAGGCCCCGAACTCAGTCTCTCCCACTCTCGGACCGGCTGCCATAGGACCCGGTTAGTCCTGCCACGGAGTCACAGCTAGGGTAGGAGGAAGAGATGTACTCACACCTCTCCCAAGCTCTCCAACATATAACAGTAGTAAAAAAAAAAAAAAAAAAAATTACAGGTAAATAAAATCAGAATGGAAGCATTGGGTTCTACGTGTAGGATTGACACGAGTGCATGTAGGGATACAGTTGCAAACGCTCATTAGATTATGTTCAATTAAGTTTTTAACTTCGTATAAGTTGTGCTTACGGCCATATCACGTTGAAATGCCGGTTAAGCAACGTTAAGCCTGGGTGACCGATTGGGAATACCGGGTGCTATAAGCTTGGATGTGCGGTTTATGTAATGGATAATGGCTCGGAAGAGTTAATCTGAGAGCCGAGTTCCAATTTCAGTTGGATTCGTTATAGCCACTTACGCATAAATACCCTTGGTAAATGTATAAATCCACCTCATCTCCTCCCCCCGGATATGGGTTAATTAGTAAAAATTCTATCGCTATCGCCAAAAGACATCTAATATTTTCTGGCTTTAAATAACCCGTTGATAAGCCGTAAAAATCATGCCAATCAATCAATAACTATAAGTTGCGATGTCTCCTCCTAAGTAAAAAACTGAGCGGAAAATTATCTGCCATAGTTACCATATTTTTTTTTTAAACAATGTACAAGAAGTATGGCGAGATGTGTACAAATGTCCAAATTTTGGTCAAACTATTTAGCGTTTAGGCTACCAAATGACGACTACAACTTGAAGAATAAATAAATAGAATGTAGAAAGTTTACACATTAAAATGACACAAAAATCCGAGTATATAAAATATAGTACATATATAAACAAACAAATTAAAAGTAAAAGTACCAGATACTTTTGAAAGTAAAATATTCAGTTTATGTGAAAATGTGTTTTCAAGAAGAATCTGAAAAAAGGAATTTTGATAAATGTTAAATAAAATTAAGAATAGCTCACATATCATATATATATATATATATATATATATATATATATATATATATATATATATATACACACACACACATGTGCGCTTAAGAATTGCTAAAAGTTGCGTGAATTCGTTTTAAGTTTAAGAAAATTTTTGGAATCTAATACAAAAGTTATCTCAAGAAAAAAATTACTTGTAGTATTTCCTTAAGGATATGAGGAGTTCCCATTAATGCAACCTTTTTGCATTTCGTCTAGACTTTGTTCACCAGGATTTTGTTTTAATTCTTGAAATAGTTCTTGAAATAATTCTTGAAATAGTTCCAAATGCGCCGATCACTGTTGTTTTGAAATGCCACATTTTTGAATTTCAATTTCAATGTCTTTTTATTTACTAAGTTTGTGGGAAAATCTGAATGACCCGTTTAGGATTGGTGCATCAATGAATAAACATTTTTCAGTCTAATAATTATATACAACTAGGAAGAAGACCCTTGAAAATTTCACGGCTTTCTTATTTTAATTTTCTGATGGATCTTAATTTTCAAGTTAATAATGATTGAATAAACACATGACGAGTTCTATGACAAATATCTGTAGAAATTATGAGCTTAACAACTTCAACAAAATATTGCAATAACAATCATAAATGAATGCTGGTTGTTATTTTAAGAAGTGGATACAAATGAAAAAATTTTAAATTGACATTTTTTTTTCCATTTCACTGAAACAGACTTACTTTACTCACTTCTATCTTCTTTCTTTCTTTCTTTCATTTTCTCAGTGAAATCAAGTAGTGTTTTCCCCCTCTTTTCGGCCTTGTGCCATAATTGTATTGATTTACAATAAATAAACTTTCAATGCGATCAAAAGGGAATAGTCCATTATTTATAAGGTATTGACAGGGTATAATGGTCATGCGAACTAACAAAGGGAGGGACAAGCACAATTATCATAGAATTATATTGGGTATTACCTTTATATCCCTAACTGTTTATACAGAGAAGTTCGAAAGAACAGATCTTCATTGGAAGTTACTACGATCTTGTAGACAACCAGCCTTACCTCTTTGTAGGAAATGCACTCTTCCTATCTAGTAAGCCAAATTCTACCTTCAGACAATATAACAAGTATTCATTGGTCAATCACCTTCAATCTGGCTTGCTGATTGGTCAGTTCCGACCACTCAAACCGCCTGCACGCGACTAAGCT